CATGAATCAAAACGTACTTTCCATCAAGGTCACTCCGAGCAAGCTCGCAAGAGAATTTGGGTTGAGCGAGGAGGAGGTCGTGAAGATCATCAAGTCGGCAAAACAGAAACTACGTGAATACCGTGAGACGACTCGGGTACGACCTGATTTGGATGACAAGGTTATTGTGGCTTGGAACGGGCTTGCCATCGGCGCGCTCGCCAAATGCAGTGCCTTGTTCGAAGAGATCGAAAGCTCAAAGGCTGTGCAGTGTCGCGAGGCAGCAGCACGAGCGATCAACTTCATCAAGGAGAACTTGTTGGAGARGGCGACGGGTCAGCTCTGGCGTATCTATCGCGATGGTAGCAGGGGAGAAACCCCTGGCTTTGCAGACGACTACGCTTATCTCATCCACGGTCTGTTGGATATGTATGAAGCTACTTACGACGACAGTTATCTACAGTTCGCGGAGCAGCTGCAGAGTATGTTCCATGATCGCGGCTCATTTGGTTGAACTGTATTGACGCAAGCAGAATATCTCAACGATAACTTCCTTGCCTACGTAGGCTCGACGCCAGCGGGTTACTACAGCACACCTTCCACCATGACACCCGGCATGCCGGGTCCTCTTCTTCGTCTGAAAACTGGAACCGAGTCAGCTACACCATCCGTCAATGGGGTTATCGCTCGTAACCTGCTCCGTCTCTCGGCATTGTTAGAGGATGAAGAGTACCGTACACTGGCCCGCCAGACATGCCACTCCTTCTCCGTGGAGATCCTGCAGCATCCTTTCCTGTTTGTTGGCCTTCTTGATGTCATTGTCGGACTCCAGACGACAACGCGGAGCGTAACGGGTGTCTTCTGTACTGCAAATCTTCCTCAGAGCGCTACTTCAGAAGGGTCTGGTAGACTTATCAACAAGCCAGACGAGCCCGTGTCGGTACGGGATATGATTATCAAAAAGATTCGGAGCGAGGCTGGGTCGACGATGGTCACGTCGGCTACGGTAACATCTCTAGTCGACATCAGGCCATCCCATCTTGGTGACTTTGTTGGCAACCAATCTTTCTGGCTCAGGACTCGAAACCCACTATTCAAAGAGCTCAAGCCGTCGGAGCCGGCGAAGAATTATCTGATGATCTGCGAGAGCGGCAGGTGCAGAATGGTTGACGTCTAAAAGTGCAGATAGGAGTTAATTTTGAGTTTTGCTTTTCTTGGTCAGCTTGGTGTTTTCAAGGTTTTCCTGATTCTTTTGGACTTTGAATAAGGGATAAATGTACTCTATGCGGGCCATACTCCGTGGCTTGCTAGAAGTTACAGCAACACTCAATCTAAAACATCTTAGCTTTATACGCCGAGCACTATTCTATCGGGGTATCCTCCACCACCAACAAGAGATGAAGATCGTCTTGACCAATTGAATCTTGACCCGACGACTAAGGATTGACAGTTACAGCTAAGACACGTATCATATTAGCTGCTCAGCAAGCGCTCATTCTGAAACGAAGGGCTTTCGTCGCGGTCCCGGCCCATGGTCAAAGGCATCGTACCACGACCCTGCAGGTAGCTAAGGCAGTTGGCCCGACGGAATCGCAATCGGATCGCTTTCAAACGCCGCGGACAGGGATGTGGAATTTCGTTTCAGATGCTGGGTATGGTATGAGCTCACCGCAAGCTTGTGCGTACGCGATCATTGTGAGTGCAGGTCCTTGTAGCTGCGGGTTCCTTGAAAAGAGTGAATCACTTTCATGGAAACAAATCTGAAGACTACTGTGGCAGATGAAAGTCTCAAGGAATAACAGTTGCTGTAGCCCTAGTGAACAAATCCGAGGACAATCCCACCCCGAAAGAACCGATCTGTGAGTTCTCTCCTTGGGAGTTCGGCACATATGATAACTCGATCTATGGATTCGCGCCACTGGAGTATCTGGGCTCTCGATTTGTGAATGGTGTGGTGCCAGAAAACGAGACCTGTGTGCGTGGCTACGGCAATGCCGGTCTTATCATGGGAACATCCAGTACATAATCAGGGTGGTGTGGACATCGCTGCCCAGCTACGCAAGATTATCCCCGAGATTTCCTCTCAAGACGCCTCTCTTGGAGAAGTGCTTTCAAATGCTGTGGAAGAATACCTCGGCGCCGTCAGTTCGACAGAACCGATACCACTGCTCCGAAGGCTTGCAGTCAGTGCTTCCAACGTTACTGCTGGAATGGAACGATCGATGACCGGACCCCATCATCACCCTATGTGCCGTCGGTCACTTTGTCTTCTTCTCCGACGTCTGGATCCACTTCCACATCTGCAGCTGCTCGTGGCATGAGTACCTCACTTGTTCCCGCTGGCTGGTCTGCCGTGGCAATTGTTGGTATGATCCTTTCCGAGCTCATCTAATCCGATGTGGAAATGAGTGGTGTCCCTGCCTAAGGCTTGGCCTGGGGGCGAAGCCGATTGTTTCTAATAGAAAAGCGGGGGAGGTTTATTCTTCATCTGCGAAGGATTCCATGTTGGGTTCCTATTTAATCATAAATGAAGGAGGGCTGATAGGAGATAAGCACGTACAATTTCCAAATTTCCTTTAACCAGCGTCGGTATCCCTGTTTCCTTTTAAGTCGTATATAAATTGAGCCTAGATAGTCATTTATTAAGAAGAATTAGACCTTTATTTAATTTGGACTTGCATACAAATTCTTAGTCATATCAAAACTTTACTAGCATATCTTAATTCAAAACTACATCTACGGGCCACTATGGTTGTGGCGTGGCATCAGGTTTGAACCTTGCAGACGGATATATATTTTGTCCTGGGCGAAAAACTACGAGGGCTCCATTAGACATGTGTAAGCCATTCAAGTCCGTTTGATTAATCTATTGCTTCCGTCTCTTGATCTCGAAATATGTCCACTACTCGTTAAAAAAGAAGTGACAGATGACACATGAGATGTCACCTAACGCCTGCAATCTCATTTCAGTGGCAATGACGCTGAGGCGTGGAACCGGGAGACTCAGAAGGCACAACGAGCTTATCAGATCTGTAACAATCGATGCCAATGTGTCAAGTCAAAGGATTCTGATCATGGTTAGCCTCGCATCTGCGACCGCCATGTCTCGGCTAGGGAAGGCCATCGGCCTAGGCAGACGATGCGACGTGCACACGAGTCACAAGTTATGAGTTATGACAGCAATCCAGACCCGCAAAGACCAGAAAAGAACATGGCAAAACGTTCTGGACTTTGCCTCTGTCGAATATTAGTTACTTGACTATGGGGTAGTGAACATCCTCTGTGGAAAATTGATCAGTGATGTTGCCTGATAGCCTCGGTACTTACACCGTAGTCTAGTATATTGTAATGAAAAATGGGCCAAATCTCCGAGGAACAAAAAGATGAAACATTAGCATGGCGCCGGTGGCTCCGCCCACGGGGGTCGGTCAGGGTGCCAAGTTTTGATGGCTGATCATTGACTACGTAGAGTCAGTGATCGGTCAACCCCTGGCGAGTACCGATGCCATCTGTATGAAGTATATTGCGTCGATGCGCAGTGGTTGGGCTGGAATGAGGAAATGAATCCTGTTTAATTTTGAGTGATTAGTGGCATGGCAGAACTGAGATTAAGTGGAAATTACACGACATCTTGCCGAAGAGTTAATTTAATTCAAATCGGGTATTCTTGCTATGGAGAGAATGATACTGATTGAGGTGATCCAGAGATACTCGAGCCGAAATGTCTTACAGAAATCCTGAGGACCAAATGTAACTTGTCTACAACTTAATGTTGTCATCATCAGCATAACTGCAGGTCACACACAGTTGTAACATGTATCATCGAGAGGTACCTAGTCTAGGTAATAATAATAAAGTTCAACTTGGACGGAGATCAGAAGCGCAAAGGTTTCGCTCAATGAGATGATTGGTCCAGGGCTCTCGGTGCCTGAAACGGGCGGCATCGTGCAGTCTGAGAATGGTTTAGTGATGGTCAGGGGTTTGAGTATCTCCCAACCATCAAGAAATTAATGCTCCATCTGTTCTGCTTGACTGCAGCACTTTGAGCATGACAAGCCAGCCTACGAGAAAGATGACGATATTAATGAATAATGAGAGGACAAGCCCATGTTTCAAGGTCCAATCCAAGAATACCAGATCAAAAAAGTTTCTGTTGTGGCTGTCAAATACTCCATCGAGGCCGCGGAATGCTAGGTTACCAAGGGACAGACCAGGGCCCAAACACTCTCTGGTATGCGGATGGATGGTAGGTAAACATGTCAGGCGGCATTTATTTTCAACAATTTCACTGTTCTGAAGAGAGAAATAAAAGACAAAAGACAAAAGAAAGAAAGAGACTTCAAACAATCAATTGAGTTCTGGATCTGGCTGCGATGGTCACTTGTATCAAGTACCACCACCATCCACCCTTGAAGTTATTATATCCTTGGAAGTTCCCGCTTCGGGCCATGTTAGACTTGACTCTCTAATCCCTCTAATCCCTCTAATCTCGAATTAATTTGTCTTGATTATTCCAGATCTCTTGGCCCCACTGATGAGGATAGAGTCGCCCCGCTCGGCTCTCTCTCTCTTGCTACTATCTCCCCTTTCACGGCGCAATTCACTAAATATTCACTAGCTGAAGCTGCTGGCCACTACAGCTGGACTACCAAGGCGTCCTATATTATCTCTCATCCCTCCCACTGCCTTCTTTTGGTCCTCACCCTTGACGCTCAACTCTTCTTTCTTCTTCGTCCTCCGCCTGTGGCGTACTCTTTTTCTTCGCTCCCTTAGAAAAAGTGTCATCACGGCTGTCGTTCCTTTGTTTATACCTCCGTCTGCCAGTCAGTACATACTCGGCCAATACTTTCAGCGTCTTTCTCCAAATCAGTCCGCAGTCGATCTGCCTACTAACAACCACTCCTTCTCTCTCCACAATCCGCTCGTCGATTTACTTCCAGGAGAAGTAATTTGGTTACACAGTTGAACTGTTGAAACATCGCTTCATACTTTCGGGAATTAGAAAAGCCAGCTCCGGAATCATGCGTTACTCGTGGTTGATCGGCGCTGTCTGCGCTGCAGGTGCTTTGGCCAAGCCTGTCGACAAACGGTCTTACGTGACTGAATGGACTATCGTCACCGTCACCAAGACCATCTATCTCCCTTACCAGCCTGCCCCAACCTCAACCTCAACCTCAACTCCGGCCTGCTCCCCCATCCAGAAGGTCCAGACAGTCGCTAGCGACGCCTCTGCTCCTGCCCCTGTTCTCCTGGAGACTGAGGCTTCATCCGCTGCCCCTATCCCTACCCCTTCTTCCGCTCCTATTGTGGACGAATTGCCTGGGGCTCCTGCCTGGTCCTCGGCTTGGACCTCATCGGCTCCTGAGGCTGCGCAACCCACCACCCTTGATACTTCGACCTCTACCACTGCCCCTGCTGCTAGTGCCACCAATGCTTATCAGTCTGCCGTCCTGTACAACCACAACATCCACCGTAGCAACCACTCGGCCAACTCCCTGACCTGGAACACCACCCTCGAGTCCAGCGCCTATAAGCTTGCCGCCGAATGTGTCTTCCACCACGACACGTAAGTACAAGGCCCCCAACCAACAACTGCGCTTTTTTGCTAACCCCTTTTAGTGACATTGACGGTGGTGGCTATGGTCAGAACATCGGAATCGGTGTTTCGGCTGATGAGGTTGGGAAGATGATCACCAATGAGATGTACAACGGTGAGTTCCACGATTTCGATGGTCTTTACGGTATGGACAACCCTCCAAACTTCGACAAGTGGGGCCATTTCTCCCAGATCGTGTGGAACAGTACGGTCTCCGTCGGCTGTGCTACTGTCTTTTGCAATGTCCTCCTCGACGAGGACAAAAAAACAACCCTTTCGCCAGCGCCCTTCATGGTCTGCAACTACTACCCTCCTGGTAAGTGTCGTCAATTTTATCCCTTGGGGTATGTCGGTTCTGACATGTACATAGGCAACTATGAGGGCGAATATGGTAAACACGTCAGCCAGCCGCTTGGACACCCCTCCTACTGGGCGTAAACTGCCAATCCCGTGGATCTCCCAGTCTCGACTGTGATAAGAAAGTTGCCGGACCCTGCATGACATTCAATTCCTCCATTAGCGTTTAACGAAAGGAGTCACTCTGACCCCGGCCCGTGGGGTTTAAGCTTCAAATGGGACCATATCCATGGAACTAAGGATCATAAGTGGTTGTTTGATGTATGGGATACTGTTCGATTTACGCGTGTGTGGGAAGTTACAATCGCAAATTGCAATCGAGAACGGGATGACTTTCTGGAAGTTGTCAGCCATTCGTACAAAATCTCTCTTCATTTTTGAGCAAACCTTCTTGCATTCACTTTTCCTTCGTGTTGCTAGTCGCATCCAACTTTGTCTACTGTGCCAAGGCTCCTCCTTGCTTCGCCGGGAAGATCTGCGAGTGCCCACATTCCCGGCCATGAGCCAGGCGACGTGGACATGAACATGACTTTGCCTCTACTTCAATTGTGGATATTATCCGTTCGAATATTCTTCTTCCTGGTACACCAGTACCAGCAACTTGACCATTGAGCTTGTTATTTTTGGGTGTTTGCTGGAGTATGATCTCATGAAATGGCGCCTTGCTTAGAGTACGACATGACTTGAAGCGAATTGATTTTTTCCCCAACATCAAGCAACGCCCTACCCTGCAGAATCTGCGTCTTCTCTGTGCCCCTCAACCTCGTAAGCGTCCAGACCGCAGCTCATTGGGACGTAGGTAGTTATAGTTGACGAAACCTGCAAAGGCTGCAATACCTCCTGGCGCTGAAGTAAGCAGCACGTGACCTGTCAATTAAAGTTAGGTAGGAGCTCCCCGCATCCAAATTTGCAGTGCAATCAAAAGTCACGGAATGATGGAATACTAAGGTACCGTGGATAAGTGATTGCTGCACGAGACTGGACGGACATCTTGTCACCGCTCCCTTCGCCCGAAACGTCATCAGATCCTGAGCGAGACTAGCCCTTCGTCCAACCGGTCGAACTATCTAAAGCCTAGCGCTTGACTACTGTGAGGTAGATTATCGACTAGACTCGCTACCTGGCCCTTGCTCCTTGTCAGCACCAGTGGCTGATATTTATTTTTGCTGTATCACTGCAGTGCAGACTTCACTATCATCTCTCGGCACGGTGTCTCGGATAAGCTCTTACACGGCATCTTGATAATCGCCTTGACTTATTGAATTGCCTTGTGTTGCACATCTGGGGTTCATAGTTGGGTAGGTACTACGTCCTCTGATCAATGTCTTGTCCTGCAGACGTCACACGGTCAATCCTCAACACCCCTCCATTGTCAGCTCAAGAACTCGAGGAATGTCAGTTAGCAGTTCGTTCTTCACAATCATTCAACTGCTGTCAGGCTGATTCTACGAAATCTTTTGGTCATCCTATATTTTCCTTTTGTGGGGTGTGTGCTTCATGTGCTTTCTGAACCTGCATCTCTTGGCAACCCAAGCTACCTGGCCAGCCGTCAAGCACCTCCGTTCCCCCGACGCATACGACCATCAAACTCCTCGGACGCGGACGCCGGTGCAAGCGGTCCACTGTGGTTGATGCAACCGCTGCAGGCTATCCCTCTATCTGATTTACTACTGTAAGCGTCCCTTTTCCCGCTGCCTGACGCTATATTTCCTTTCGTCCCGGGACCCCAGCACATGCTCCACACCCTCGGCCTTCCGTCCCCCGTGGGGCCCGTATACACTGAGATTTGTTCTATACTCTTCTACACATATAACAGTGTAGCCTTTTCCCGTTATATTCTCTCATTTTGTTTTGTGTATTTTTGAACTACGAGAGTCTCAGTACGCGTACGCGATTATCCATGCCATCTTATTGCCTGCAAGATTGTCACTACTTCTACCGCAGCGCCTTACGTCTTTTGTCCATTCCGACTTTCCTCGCCTGCCGTTACGCTTAGTGCTTTTTTTGTTCTCAGCTGACGATATGTCTTACTCGTCCATGGCAGTCCGTTACTTCACGGCTCCAAAGACACTGGGAGGCGCCATGGAAGCCCCCTCGTCTCAACCAAGCGTCGATGCTAGGGTTAATCCCTCCAACCCAACATCGGTGAATGGCGGATCAGCTCCGGCTCAGTCCTGTGAGAAAAAGGGCTTGACATTTGCCAATCAGGATTCCTTGCCGAAGTTGCCTATTCCTGACCTTGAGAGCACATGCAAGAAATACCTCGAAGCACTATCACCTTTGCAAACCCCACGAGAGCAGGAAGAAACAAAGGCTGCTGTTCAGGTATTCCTCAAGACAGATGGTCCTATACTTCAGGAGAAGCTGAAGAATTATGCCTCGTCCAAAACGAGTTACATTGAACAATTCTGTATGTATTCGCTGTACCACGTCGCATCCAACTGCACTAACATACAGCCACATAGGGTACGACTCTTACTTGAACTATGACAATCGTAAGAACTTCTTCATTCTTCTTACAGCAGTCGATCACTGAACTGACCTGGTCACAGCTGTTGTCTTGAATCTTAACCCCTTCTTTTTGCTGGAAGATGACCCCACGCCTGCCAGGAACAATCAGGTGACTCGGGCGGCATCACTCGTCGTGTCCGCTCTCTCCTTTGTTCGGGCTGTCAGGCGTGAGGAGCTTCCACCTGATACGGTCCGAGGAACACCACTATGCATGTACCAGTACTCTCGACTATTCGGAACTGCGCGTGTACCCACCGAAAATGGATGTATGATCAGCCAGGACCCGCATGCAAAACACATAGTTGTTTTGTGCCGGGGTCAGTTCTACTGGTTTGATGTTCTTGACGATAACAACGACTTGATCATGAGCGAAAAGGATATTGCGATTAATCTGCAGGTGATCATTGGCGACGCCGAACAAACGCCAGTACAGGATGCCGCAAAGCGTGCCCTTGGTGTTCTCAGCACGGAGAATCGGAAAATATGGTCGGGTCTGAGAGATATCCTAACCAAGGACGAGGGATCCAATAACTGGGAGTGCCTGAACATTGTCGACACAGCGTTGTTTGCTCTCTGTCTGGACGATACCGAACCGGAAAATACGTCTCAGCTTTGCGCCAACATGCTCTGTGGTACGAGTGAGGTCGTCAGAGGTGTCCAGGTTGGTACCTGTACCAACCGGTGGTACGACAAACTGCAAATCATTGTGTGCAAGAACGGAAGTGCTGGTATCAACTTCGAACACACTGGTGTCGACGGCCACACGGTTCTGCGCTTCGCTAGCGACGTGTACACAGACACGATCCTTCGTTTCGCTAAGACAATCAACGGTCAAGCCCCGTCGCTCTGGGCAACTGCCAGCCCTGATCCCTCAAAGCGTGACCCCCGGAGCTTTGGCAATGTCAGCACAACACCGCGAAAGCTCGAGTGGGACATGGTTCCCGAGTTGAGCATTGCCTTGCGGTTTGCCGAGTCTCATCTTGCCGATCTCCTCCAGCAGCATGAATTCGCGGTCCTTGACTTCGAAGGATACGGCAAGAATTTCATCACCTCGATGGGCTTCTCTCCGGATGCCTTTGTGCAGATGGCATTTCAAGCCGCTTATTACGGACTGTATGGTCGCGTCGAAAACACTTACGAGCCAGCAATGACCAAATTCTTCTTGCACGGGCGGACAGAAGCCATCCGAACGGTCACCAATGAATGTTTCGACTTTGTGAAGACCTTTTGGGGCGACAACCCTGCAGAACAGAAGGTCAACGCTCTTCGCAAGGCGACTGAAAAGCACACCGCCATCACCAAGGAATGCTCCAAGGGACAGGGTCAGGATCGCCATTTGTATGCCTTGTACTCTGTTTGGCAAAGATCGTTCGACGAGGACAGTCCGTCAGCGGGCAATAGCGTCGAAGGTGGATCCAACGGATACTCGAGCCCTGTTGAGAACGGATCGGCCATCGATTCTCCCAAAACGTCGTCCTCCATGTCCGAGGATGGCCTGTCCTCAAACGGCTATAGCTACCGCGGTATTCGCACAGTGCCGCCCACTCCGGCCATCTTCAGTGATCCCGGCTGGGACAAAATCAACAACACGATCTTGTCAACGTCCAACTGCGGCAACCCGAGTCTGCGACACTTCGGTTTTGGACCGACATCCGCAGATGGATTTGGTATCGGTTACATCATCAAAGAGGATTCTATCTCGATCTGTGCCTCGTCCAAGCACCGGCAGACTGCCCGGTTAATGCAAACACTGGAGTCGTATTTGTACGAGATTCGGAAGCTGCTCCGCGCCACCAACCGTAAGGCGATCAGCCCTCGCACAAGCAGGGCACGCGAGTTGGAGATGCTTGCCGAGCGGTTCCAAAACGATAATCGCCGGGGCCGGCTAGTCCGCGGCGACAGCGGTTCGATGCAACGGGGCACGGATACGCCAACTACGGACAGCGGCGATATCGAGGATGATGGCATGGGTGGATGTAAGTCTCTCGAGAAGTTGTTCCTTTCAAAGACAATCGCTGACAATGACCGATAGATGGCTTCTTTGACTCAGGCATGCTGCTTCATGCTCTTAAAGGGTTGAGTGTCGACCGAGAGCGAGCCGATAAGCCTGCGAAACGACGGTTCATCGGAAAGAAGCTGCGGTTAAATGAAAACTGATGTTATTTTGGTGACTGGTTAACTATGACACTCTTTTTCATATGGACTTGGCGCATATATGACGTTTGTTCACTTTTACTGTGCATGATGCCATGATTTGTGTATAGCTATATACCAATGACATTGAGATCTCCCTCAGCTGTTGGTCCTCTATATAATACTTAACGCAGAATATCCTTCTTGTTCAAGAAGACATCAAAGTTGCCCAGCCAACAACGCACAGCTGGATCTGGCCTGGCGATATATCCACTAGCATGCTTCGAAGTCATGTGATTCAACCCATGTAGTAAACCTCCGACCTGCATACCATGGCACTTACATACAAGAAAGTATATCATGCAAGGGCTACGCAGAGCTTTAAGGCTCTTCTCTCTGCAAGCAAGGTTAGGTGCAGATTTTAAGGGGTTCTCGCG